CACTAATTGCCAAAAGTATCAGATTATTGTTGCGTAATAACACCTTGAACGCCGTCTCCATGTTCACCTGATGTCGGGTTGCCAAGAGATCCTCGGTGATAGATGATGCTGGGCTCCGGTTCATCCTCGCATCCACTCCGTTTGTTGCGTCATCAGTTGTTCCAACCACCTCGGCAGATGTTCAGATACTCTCTGAGCTAACTGACGGTCAGTGCTGTCCATGTAAATGTCACCGCAACCGCAGGTGAACTGGTAAATGTGAGAGACCGAACTGACTGATGAGCTGCTCTGACGGTCATGAAGAACAAGGCTTGCGTTGTATGTATGAGTCACAACTGGACGGTCGCGTAAGGGCGGACCGGAGTTTATGTCCGATATCATTTGACACATAATCTCCTTTGAACGGAAAGAATAGAAACTATGGAGACAATCAATTAGGCTACCGTGGTCTTGATTTTGTCATTTTGATTAGTGTGCCGATTTTTCCCTGTATATAACTGTCTATGAATTCCGCTTGTATTTTGTCTGCGACTGATGAGAACAATCGAAATGTTGACATATCGCAACTTATGTCTTCTCACTGCTCTGACGAAAAGGTAACATTCATCAAATAGGGAAGACGTCTGCTTTTAAAATATCCAGATTGAGATCCGGACATGCGCCTTGCTAATTACATAACAGTTATCGCGGGAGGTCATAAAACCATGGGACATAGCGTGGGCAAACAAATAGTTGGTGGGCATTCAGAGTTAAATCGCGTCATCCATCTTGCGGATTGCGTGGTAAATTTACGGCCAACATAAGCTGCTGACTAGTTGGCGTAGAGTTCTAGTGTTCATGAGTTCGATTCCCAGCAGGAAGACCGAGGGAATGCACACCACTGACGGGCCACAACTGGGCAGAACGATCGTCTAGTGCTTTTCCTGATTGTGGCTAGAGTAATGGCTCATAAGCAATTGGGATGAACCAGTAAAAAGGTTTCCCTGCCGATTCCTCTACTTATATCTTCATCCCTATCTCGCATGACCTTCCACTTTTTACTTTTATTTGTTTACGCCTTGTGCACTATTGAGCCAGCATACTTGAGTTGGCTTGACACTGTCGAGTCCGCAGTATACACCATTAATCAATTTCTTTGGGTTGTCACGGCTGTCATGCGCAGTTACTAAGCTCTTAAGAAAGAATTGTCTCCGTGCTTCACTCCCATTTTTCAGAGTGCCATGATGTATGCGAAAACTGTCTGAATTGGATGCGTATCCTGTGTTTTGGCATCCTTGCCTTAATGTTTTTCATATCACTATACAAATGCTCTTCATCCCTCCAAGATGAAGGCAATTTCCTTCGATCCATACACCAAGCTCTAGGTTCTGGTCCCATAATTGGTGCTATATACCTTACTGTGGAGCAACGGACAACAGAAGGAATATAAAGAATATCTTGCACAAAACTGTTTTGGAACTTCGAGCCAAAGAACCACCATTGGTACGCATTCTATATTCGCCTAATATTTAAATTATCTCGTGGATATCTTTACTGAAATTATTATTACAATTTGATCATGCTCGAAAGCGCTTATCCCTTGGAACCGAGAATTTACTTTCTTATTTTTACGGACACCTGGACTATCTCTAAAAACAAACATTCATGAGGAAGACCACCTACTGCTACGCACGGAGGGTGTCACCTGGCCTGGGGATGAAACGTTTGCAGCCTGTTTGCCAAGCTCGATATGCTCATGAATACCGGAAAAGCCAACCCAGGCTATCAGTGTTTCGAGTAATTTCGAACGATCTATCATTACTTTTTTACACATAGCAAAGCGTTCGTGGGAGTTGGGTAGGGTGCTGCCTCTACAGTAGTGGATTCACTTTCACATCGTGCATAACACGATCAATACTTCTTCTCATAGTACTGACGACTCATTTTTGTAGGTCTCTGATTAATGTACGATCTTTCGGCAGTATCCTACGCTTTTCTTGTACGACAGCCTACTGCCATCTCAAAGCTGTTCATATGCCATCGTGTGCTAGGTATAACTATCTGCTTTCCTAAGCTTCGACGAAAGACCAGCCGCCTGAACAACAGATTTGTGATGGTTCTGTAGTTCAGTAGAAATGCATCCAGTATTTCCGCAGACGTTCCTTTCCCTGTACTTCAGTACTGTTCGTGTAAATCTGTCCACGAACGTCTCTGACTGCTTATTGGTTTGTGGACAAAAGCGAGGTGCACTAATCTGTGTGGTGCCGTATATTTTTATGGAATTCCAGAGTAGCTATGAAGTGAACTGGGTGCCTTTGTCCGACACAATCGTCTCCGACTGCTTTGAAACCTAGGGAAGGGACTAACTGATAGCAAGAGTTCGTTTACTGACTTAGCCAAAGTCGAACGTGTTTTCCACAGTTTTGTATTTCTAACACGATAGCGTAAGGCATAAACTATGGGGGAAGGTGAATGTTGGCAATGCACATGAATTACCACATAGTGGAAGCGTTACTGAGAAGAGCTCTGAGGAGGTCACTACAGCTTGAGACAATCGATACAGCAGTGTCACTGGGCAGAGTGAGATAGAGCGTCAGCTTGGTCGAGTTGTTGTGTAGATCGATATTGTATGCTGAAATCGTAAGCCAGCAGTACGATTGCCCATCTGTAAGCGACTTGCTGTGAAAACAGGAATACCTTTCTTTGATCCAAATATCGAAAGTAGAGGTTTGTCATCCGTGATCAGTTTGAAATGTCTACCATATAGCTCTTATGAAACCGTCTCAATGCGGAAACAATCGCCAACGCTTCCTTCTCACTCTGGCTGTAATTTTTCTCCGCCACTGTCTTCGACCGTGCTGTGTGCGCAATGACCTTCTCCTCCAACGAACACATGAGAAATGACGGCACCTACCCCATAATTGAGACGTCCGAATCAACAACAGTTTCCAAGTTTGGGTTGAAGTGGGTCAAAAGTAAATCAGAACTGAGCGCTATTTTAACTGTATCAAAGGATTGTTGGCTCTCCTTTGTCAATCGCTATTCCTTCCCTTTCATCAGCAACCGGTTCAGAGGACCTCTAGTCTGATGTAGACTTGGCAGGAAGGCACTATAATGACTTATAAGACCGAGAAATGAACGAAGTTCGGCAACATCCCCTGGTGGTGGCATTTGCTTGACGGCTGCTATATTAGCGGGATCCGGACGTCTGCCATGTTTGTCAATGATGAACCCGAGAAATTTGACACTTTCCCTCAGGAAATTGCATCATTCCGCTCGTAACCGGAAACCAGATTCTTCTAGACGAGTGAGCACTTTCTCTAACGTGGCCAGCAATGCTTGTGGGTGAGACCCCATAGTCAATGCGTCATCCAGGTATACTGCGACCCCAGGGATATCGTTCAGCAGCATATCCATGATTTGTTGAAAAATGGCGGGAGCAGTTTTCACTCCGAATGGCAACCGATTGTACTGGAAAAGACCCAGATGTGTATTGACCGTCAATAGAGTTCTGCAGTTCTCGGCTACTGGTACTTGTAAGTAAGCATCAGCTAGATCGAGTTTCGCAAACCATTTTCCACCGTTAAGCTTGGTGAACAGATCTTCAGGTATAGGCAAAGGGTACTGGTGGTTCTCCAACATGGAATTTAAACCGGTTGAAAAGTCAGCACAAATACGTACCTTCCCGTTTCCTTTCTTTATCACCACGATGGGTTCCGCCCATTCGGAGTAATGTACGCGCTCGATTATGCCTTCCTACTGCAACCTACTTAACTCAGACTCCACTATTGGTTGTGTTGCGTACGGCACTGGACGTTTTGGTCTAAAAACTGATCTGGCGTCTGGTTTGAGGTTCGGCTCAGCTCTGGCTATCCGGCAGCATCCAAGACCGGGTTGGAACAAACTTTCGTGGCGTCGTTTCAGTTCTGTAATTTGATTGTAAAGTTCGAGGTTCATATTCTGCGTCTCTGCAAGTTTCTCAACTTGTAATTTCTGACATATACTGTTAACTGACTGGTCAAGTAATTTCAATTCCTCCATCCAATCGAAACCCAGCAAATTCAATCCGGGTTGATCTGTCACAAAACAGGTTGTACGAATATGCTGATCACGGAAACCGACCTGACAATGCAACTCTCCGAGAAGTTTCAAAATACCGCCGGATGCGTTTCGTGCTGTGTGGTGTGTGTGGACAAGTGGTGGTCGTCCCAGTATACACCATGTGTCTCGACAAATCAAAGTGATGTCTGACGCAGTATCCAACTGCAGCTTAACTTCCTTATCGTTGATCTTCAAAATTGTAAACTTATGTCTGCCAACACCGTCAACCTTGAAAGTCGCCGTCACCGTTTTGGCCTTGTTGTGACATCGGAGGCGCACCGGGATTCGACGCCGTATTCCGCTCATTATTGATCGTTTCGCAAGACAACACGACTCTTTGTGTCCTCGCATACCACAACGATTGCAAATGTAATTTCGGAACTGCCAGTTTCGATCAAAGTGCCATTCCCTGCAAAACCAACAAGCAGAAGAGAGTTTAGAATGTGGTAAGCTCACATGAACCGATTCTGAGGACTTCTGCTGACCCTGCAAATGATTTCCTGACTATTTTGGATAGAGGACTGTTGGATCATTGCAGCATCATGCTTCAAGTTCATCAACCGTTGGCATTCGTTCGTCACTTCCTGCAGTTTGATCTCGGGACTTTGTTCAATTCTGCTCAGTACTCTTGTTCGGGCATCCGCATCTTTGGTTGCTTGAAGACCACACATAAATAAGGCACTTGTACTGATCAGCTGTCATCTTGTGAAACAGCGACCGTTCACACTCACGATTTACGCGACTCGAGTAAGTAACCCAGTCTTCGTCGTCTCGCTTGGTCATTGTCAGGCACTTGTACCAGATATTGCATAATGCCGACTGCTTTCCAAATATCTGGGACAAAGTAGCAGCCGCTTCATCGAATGTTAAATCATTGCTCTTTTTCGGCAAGATGAAATTCATAAACTTTTCGTACTCGGCCGCACCCAATTTCCGCAGCATGAGGCGTACTCTCTTGTCTTCTGAAGCACCGGCTAAATCAACGCGAAACAGGTCTTCGTATTTATGGAACCACGATTCAAAGGTAATACCGGCATCAGCATCGTAACGGAACTCACAAACTTGCTGGGTCAAGGTTTCTGCTGAGGGGCAACGTTCACTTGTTCCTGTTACCGAGCCTGCCTGTAGTGACAAATTCTTGGTCAGCGTTTCGATCAGCTTGGCCTGTGCTTTCTCAAACTGCGCCTGCTGTTGCTGCAACAGAGACTGCAATTGCTCAAAACTGACTGACATCTTTGGGTTCTTCTGACTCTTGTCGCCGCTGTTGTAACGTTTCTACTTTTCATCTAAAGCTCCGAACCTCGCTCGCGTTGCAAGGGGGTGGCCAGTTGAGTATGCGCTTCCTCGGTTCCCACTTGGAGGAAAACGATGACTGCGTGATTGCATCTGTCAAATTCGAGTCGGAAGTTCAACGCATCCTGGTTGACAGTGTAAGGGAGTTGCCAGTAACGTCGGACACGATTCGTGCAGAGACGGCTTGAGACGATATCTTGCTGAAAGTGATAGGGTTTGTGCAGTCCATTTGGCCACATAATATCCGATAGAGGGTGCGAAGTTGAGAAAGAAAAGATTGGGCGCATACTCAACTGGCCAACCACTTACAACGCGAATGAGGTTCGGTTGTTTAGAGGAAAAGTAGAAGCGTTACAACAGTGGTGTCAGATGTGGAATACCATCATGGCCATTTCATTCGAGCAGATGCAGTCCCTACTTCAGCAGCGGCAGCTTCAGTTTGAAAAATCACTGCGGCAGTTAATTCAGTTGCTATCAGAAAAATTTAACATTCAAGTGGGATGGGAACCGGAACCGAGGTTAGCATCCCAGGCAATTGTATCTGGATGCCACAAGCTGCTCAGTTTGAATCATGACCGAGAAATGATTGGAGCTTCAGATCACAGAGAAGAACTCCAGCCCTGTCATACAGTCATTTGTGGCCAAAATGTGAATGGAAATGTGCCGAACCGGAAGCCCCCGACTGCATTATGTAACGGTGGTGGGAGGCATTCTGCTAGAAACTGCGCCCACAAAATTCATCATTGTCAAAAGGCGCACCAATTCAGGTGCGTGTGTACTTCAAGGTTACAAGCGAGTTCCAAATTCAAAAGAAACGGGTATCGCGGCAAAGTGAGAGAGGCGACTTTTGCAGTATTTTGTGCAGACTTTTCAGGAAAAGGAAATACCTCACAGTAAAGCGCAAGAATGTTCCGGTATCGCTGCGGCCAGAAACGTTGAGTGCTATCAAGAGCCTTTCTCTTGCCAACCGGGCAAGAATTGGCACGTCAATCAAACCTATAATTCTAACAGTTCAAAATGCTTCAGGGAAACCTCTGCAGCTGAAAGGAAGAATCGCCGGTGAACCCAAGCTCAAGGATTTGCAATTCTATGGAAATATCTACCCAACATACTGTACCAATGTTAATCTGCCCGAAACCAATTGGATTACGGAGTTAGATTTACATAGAGAGTCACTAAGTCATATGAGTTCGGTAACGACTGTTACTCTCGGCAGTATTGACCTTACTTGTTCCAAATTCTTAGCTGGTTACTAGTTACCAGTCCGGACGACACTGGTGTCTTGGCCGAAGCCCGAACCGCCTTGGTCGCGGATCCAAATGGACCTAGGTGGATTCCTACGTCGGAAGAGCTGTAACCTCCAGGTAACCCACTTTTTAAGGGAAGGAGGTGTTATGGAGAGAAAGCTTACAGCCAGTGATCAAGCCGAGAGCAGTGCCATAGAAGCGGATCGATCTACAATTAGAGAACGAACTCGAGTACAGATCAAAATGCGAATCGATGTGGAATCAGCGGCAAGTTGGGTCATGAACTTGAGCCATTTGAGTTGTGTTAATTAACATCAATTAGCATCTCAAATATTGTTGTGCTGGTAGTTGCCCACAACCTAGTTATATTACGCCATGCTCTCATACAACACGTCTCTCTGTCTACCTAGTTCTGGCCTTTTGTATTCCGTCGGTTGGCTGGGCGCGTGATCGAGAAGTCAGACAGTCGCAGTTTTAAGGGGCAGCTATCAGCAGTACGACAGTCGTCTGTGACAGAGAGCAGAGGTAAAAGAAGAAGCGTTACAACACAGCTTAAGTGATGTCGCTCGGTTTACGTGGACACATGGGGCCTACTTTCATTAAGGGAGAACTCAGTTGTTATCTGCGCTATTTGAGTTGCAGCTTTGGTGAGGTGAACTCTGCACAAGTTTCGCCACGCTATGCGAGCTCCGCAACACTTGCTTATTCGCCACGCGTTTTCCTTGTGCTTTAGTTCGAGTTGAAAAATATCTTTCTATAGTTTGTATAAAGATTCAAAGATCAGGCCAGCCTGAGGTTCATAATGGAACTTCCTGATGTCGTTAGCAATTGCTTCGATCGAATTATCATCCGGAACTGGAATTGGTGACTTACCTCACCAAATTTTCCTTGAATCGCTTCGTGGCTTCTTCGAGCTCAGTCGGCTGCGATACGGAGTTTTCTTCACTTTTTCAGCATGTACTAACATTTTGCGTCGACCCCTGACCCAAAACTGTGACTAACTGCAAGTATAACTCAACTCTGCCAAGCAAAAACAACAATGATGGGTTTCTATTGCGCTGTAATCTACTGAAAAGAGCACTTTAAACTACTGATAATCGACCAGACTAAAGCGATTAAGATCACACGGTTCGTCTCATCTCACTGTCATGAGTCTTTGTTGCATACTAGGCTTGTCCATCTTCTAGTTCTAGTCTTTTGGCAACACTACGAAATGAACCCTCCTAACAAAGTGCCATCTTCCCGCAATATGCAGTCATCACTGGTATTTTCTTCCTCCAGACTAGGTAGATTCGCTCTCATCTCCCGTCTACCTGCTGACCACACCTAACGTAGTGTAATCGCACTATCACGCCAAACTGGCCAACAATGTACTGCTTTCACATCTTGCACATACCCTTGAGGGGAGGTGTTTGGACCAGTACCATCGGTTCCATCGCGTTCGCTCATGTGTTCCTTGCACGTCGCTGAAGTATCATTACCCTGACTATGTTTATTTGAGTTAGCAATACACTGTCAACAACGTGCTTCGCTAAGGTACTATTTCCGTAATAAAAAACCAGCTCTGCTTATCACCGTTGCCTTGAAATCCTTGTCGCTCAGTAAGTATCTTGTACTGCAATTGGCCAATTAACCGTACCCTGTCACGCTTTACGTTTGACTTGCGGTCCCTAGCTGTTGACTACACTTACGGCCAAGGCGTCAAATAGCATGATATCGCTGCTCGGTTTTTAAGCGTGATAGACAGCTGCTCACTGCCATGCTCGGAGCACAGTCTCTCAGGGCAGAAGTAATAATTCCCCGGAAGAGTCATTATTTCGGCAATTAATCGATGTGCAACGATTATCTTATCGATTCTGAACATTCTGGTCTTTTCCAGAGCTGCACGTGACGTCACATCCTGAGGATTGTCTGGATCGATGTGACACTGCCAATGTTTTAACTTTGGCCTTCCTGCTCAATAAGCTGAAGATTATGAGATAGCCTGTAAGCACAGTAAACTCTACCTCAATTGTGCAGTGTTTTTGGTAATGCTCTGGTTAATCCATTATTTTATCAAGATCATTTGAATTCTGGTTTTTCTTTTCGGCTAGGCTAGAAGTCTTGCAGAAACATGAAGTGTTTTATTCGGAATAGCAAGAAAAGTTGACGCTCTAGCCGTCCTTTTTTACATTTTCCGCTTTATACCTGGTAAAACGGTCCACAGTCCAGCGCGCGCCTCCATCGTGCTCCATTGGTCTGGTTATTTTGCATTTGACATAGGTGAATGACTGGCAAGACGCCGTCCCAAAAGCCGCAACCGTTCGCGAAACGAACACGCAACACACTACTGAATCTTCACGAAGTACTACCACTCGCTTCACCAACACGTGGGTCATGAGTGTTGCGGTTCGGTTTCGTAATGACCACGGATGATCTCCCTTGCTCCACTAATATTCTTTCCAGTTCTCATTACATACGGATTCCGTGGCGCAACGTAAACCGTCTAAAGTGTCTGTGTAGGTTCTGGCGTCTTACGGCTATTCACCGATGCAACTACGCACCGATCCAAAAGCGTTGGATGCAATCTTTATTCTGTTGCATTAAACTCCGGCGCAGTCCAATACAGCTACCTCCTTCCCTTAACGCGTTCGCTGTCCGACTCATACATTGCTTCACTAGAGCAATCGCTTCGTTTCCATCCAACGCAGCTCTGTTTTGTCTACCGCGTGCGTTGGTGAATTCTCAGGCCGACAACCCACTCAACCATGCGTGCAATCCCTATTGACCATCCGTTCGTCTCAATAGCGTTGTTCCTACTATACGTCTTTGTCATGCTCACGTGCGACAGCTCTCAACCTTGTTCGGAGCGCCCTACTCGTTTACAATGCTCGCTTTCCGATAGTTCGCCGCACCGAACACGGGAGATTTCAGCCTAACTGTTACTCTTCTACCGGACACAGACACCTTTCCTTCATCTGATAGTTATTGCTACGTCTCCACGTTCAGAAGATGTGTTGATACGAAGTTGGACTTGGAGAATCCGCTGTGTGGTTGGGTTGCTACAAGCAACCTCTCTCGAGACCTCGGTTCACTTGAGGTGGACCTCGGTCCTTCCGATCACAAGGACCGTATGTGTAATGAAAATAGAGATTGCTCGTAGCAACCCAACGACACAACGGATTCTCCAAGTCCAACTTTGAATTCGTTCCCGCCGTATCAAGTGTTGCTCACGGATCTCAGTGGCATAGTGTTTATAGCGTCAGCCGTGAGCCACTAGGCTCTGCTTTCTACCCCAGCTCAGTCTATCTCCACCTGATGAGTCCAAACCAGGACGAAACTGCGACCATGGACTGCCAGTGTTGGGATGAGCAACACCGAAATATTTCCATGTGTTGCTACAATTTCCAGCAATGTGCGACTTAGCTTCCCGAGTTCCGACGGCTGAGTTGAATACCGCTCCATTTCGAGTCTATCTAACCTTCCTCAGCGGTTCTTCATACTCCCCCACCATTTAGGACGTGGTCCGTTTATTGTACAAGACTGCAAACGAACTGCAAATCGTTTCTTTATCTACATATATTTAAACACTTATCTGCATGCGGAGCGTTCGAGCCTACACACGGTTCCCCGGAGTTATGTGCTCTCCTTAGGTCTTGGATAATTATTGATCTTTCAGTTCGCATCGACAATGTCCACCATAGAGTACCGTGAAATTTAAAATGCGAGTACCTTCAGGGGCCTACGGACTAAACTAAAAAAGATAAAATGC